CGAGGAAGCTGTCTATATGTTTATTGTAATGCCTTCTTATCAGGGGTAGTAATTATACAGTAAGGTGAGAAATGATGAACTAATCAGAGGACCAACATTCTTTTGCTGCCTTTTCCAGATGAGAACTCACTTCTTTTGAATTAGAAGATGATCCACTAGTGACCTTCCCCTCTTTGTGGGTTTCCCCTACTTCTGTCCCATACCCACTAGAAGACTTGGGGTTCAGTCAAGATGACATAGTCAGGAGGACCCTTTTGCCTCACCCCAGCATCTTCTTCCTTCCTCTTTGCCATCTCCCATCACCTAACCATTTTCCTTCTCTCACCTCCCCATATTGCCTCTTGGCACTGCCAGGGAAAGAAAGGAGGGACTTTTCAAGAAGTGAGGCAGAAAAGAGTGTAAGGAGAGAGGAAGAAAAGAGAGGAACCACTCACATTCACATATCTTGTGTTACAAAGCCCTTGCTTTCTCTGCAATATCTGTTGTGAAATAGGCATAACCACTACTTAAATACCTTCAGTGACGGGGAGCTCCTTAGTACATAAGGTAGCACAATCCGTTGTTTGCTATCTCTGTTAGAAAGTTTTTCCGTATGTTGATTGGAAGTCATTTCAGTGTCGACTTTCCCTGGTTGTTCCTAAATTTGCTCTCTGGGATTAAGTAGAAAAAGTCTGATTCCCGTCAGATACTTGAAGACAGTGACCACAACCCCTTTAAACCTTGAGCTGATCCTCAAATGGCAGAATCTCTTGCTCCTTCACCATTCTGGCTACCTTCCTCTGGCCTTGTCAATGTCCCTCCCAACATGTGATGCCCAGAAAGGAACACAATATTCTAGACATGGTCCAATTCTGATTCTGTGCAACCCAACATGGCATCATTTCTTTTTTTATATGTAGTAACAATGTCATACTCAAGATTTTTATTGATCTTGTGGTCAACTAAGATTCTCCCATTTGCAGATCTTTGTCACACAAACTGCTACATGACTAGTTCTAGGGGCTAGATAAGATGATAGTATGGTATAGCCCTGAATTATAGGGATCTGAGTTATAGCCAGGGGTGTGCTGAAGATAGCTAGTATAGGTTTTTGAGAGCTGATTGTTAAATTTTCAGGGAGAGCATTTATACCTCAGAAATCAGCAACTGAGAAGGCAGCTAGTGGCTCAATGGATACAGTACTAGGCCTGGACCCAGACACTAGCTGTGTGACCCTGGGCAAGTCACTTTGGTGGTTATTAAACATTTACTAGTACATGGCTGGTTATATCCTCAGCTCTACCAGTGAATTGAGCAAGTTACTTTCTATTTCTTAGTTTCAGTTTCCTCTTGTATAAAATGAGAATCTTCAATTAGATATCTAAGGCTCCTTCTAACGCTAGCATTCTATGTTCTGAATCCTCTTCACTGCTAATATTCTATGATTTCATAAAAGCTCTGCTCTCCTGGTTTTCTAGGTGTAGACAAAGGAATACTAACCCCCAGGAAAGAGAAAGGAGGCGTTAGGAACTTATGAGATACAAAGGCCTGCTTCCTTGGACTGGAAACTCAGGATAAGATATTGATAGATACAAGGAAAACACAGTATTCCCTTTCCTAGTCTGGTTTTCTGTAGCTGGGCTGTTCAGTCTTTCTCAGTGGTCATCTCTGCATCTCACCCTCCACTGCCCCAAGTAGTTTGCTCAGGGTGGGCATTTTCACTATAGGTAGAACTTCTGTGGAAAAGGGTGGGGGTGGCAGAAGAAGGGATTCAGGTGGAGGAACCAGGACATGAGGAGGTGGGAACCACAGGATATCTTGTTGGGTCCCTCACTCTGTGGCTGAGATTTCTACCAAACCCTGCTCTCTTAGTTAAATTCCTCCCCCTCTCCCCTTTACCCACCCGTTTCCCTACTCATGCTGCCAAGGAGCAACTGTCCTGTTCCTGGTGGGTACTGAAGGTGGAGGTAATAGCATATCCAATGTTTTGCTGCCCATTAGCTGAGTGGCAGTACTGTGTGCCCAGGCACATGACAGGGCCCTCCTTTATGCTTCTGAATTGCTACGTTGGCGGGAGAGGGGAAAGTGTATTGTGTGCAAAAACAAAACCAAGTAGTTTTTCCTTTTTCTGAAGGTGGTGATGGTGCAATTAATGGCTGAGCCATTACCTCCTCCCTCTTTTCCACCTCCCTCCCCGATCCTCTCCTCTCCTTTCCTCTCATTCCCCTTTCTATCTCCCCCGCCCTCTTTGATTTCTTTCATTTGAAAAAGCAGCTATACCTGATGAGTTCAATTCACCACCTGGAGGAGCCTATCTCTTCAGGGGTTAGGCTGTTCCCTGTTCCCATCTCTGGCTCCTGGGCAAGGGACAGGCATTTCCTGCAGCCAGGAAAAGAAGAAAGTGGGAGTGGGAGTGGGTGGGATGGTGTGTGTGTGTGTGTGTGTGTGTGTGTGTGTGTGTGTGTGTGTGTGTGTG